GTCGTTATATTTTCCACCTCTTCAACAAACGTTCGTCCTCGAACGTGCTAAAAATTATTCTGAGGACTTTAAATTACTGAGTGTATCATTACATACATACTCTCGGGTGATTCCACGTCACCGCAATTTAGCATGGGTCTGACAACACCGTCTCAGTTGAGATTATTTCTTTAATCCATATTTATAACTTTAAAGCTAATTTCTTACACTCTAATCAATTCAGAAGGCCTGATTATCATATTAACACACTGTGTTGGTCTCAACCAGCTGTAGCAATTTCGTGCCTACACACCCATAACCACATCTCTAGTCATAATAGTTGTTTATAATTACTTCCAGTATTATCAATTAATCTCATATTAACCAGCACCTCGTTTCGAATTTTCACAACACTGACAACAAAATGTGAGGCATGAAGACCTTATAACTATTTATCCGACTTAACGAGTCACATTTAAAGCCACCTAGGTATTCGTCTCGTAGGCTAAAACTCAATAATTACAGCACAATCATGGCACAGAAATACACAAAGGAATTATCATATAAGCCTATCAGGAATAACTCCCTATTAGTACTATAGTACAAATTAATCTTCACAAAGGAAGAATTTAAACTCATAAATATTTCACCACAAGGACCTCATCCTTATATAACTTTCACTGCGGCTTGTAGCCCGGTTTGAATATTTCACATCATATAAAAATGCGAGGATCTCATCTTCAACTCCGAATCACAAGTATTTTGCACATTGTGCCAACTGAAATTTCAATTTCCTTTCTTTCTTCTTTTCAATAAATTTCGTAAATATTTTTCACAACACATAATGAACCCTCATACCGGTAGGATATATAATTCATAAAATTGAAATCAATTATACCGAAATCACATCAAAACCCACTGTAGTGAGTAAAAAAAAGTCACGTTTGGACTTATAGCCCTCAATGGTGTACAAAAATAAAAATGATAGACACGGGCTAACATCATCAAATTCCCAACAGGGATACACATGTAAGTGGTTCACAAAATTACAAAACTTACCCATAAGCGAGGCATAATAGGAGGACTCACCTCAATATTCAGATCCAAATCAAATTAAGGAAAAATATCCTTTTTATAACAAATCAAGATCATACCTGTAACGACACCATCTAGTATATCGGCCTCAACCAAATCATAATGTTTATATCAATGGGTCGGGCCTCCACCTCTTAGGTGTCCTCCACCCGCCTGTCCTCCACCTCTAACTGGTTGTGTACGTGGAGTAGTAACTGCATTGGGGCCCATAGCATGTGTGTTCTGATAAAATCCACCCCTCCTAAGTCTGGGACAATCTCTCATAATGTGCCTAGTGTCACCACACTCATAACAACCCCTCTAAGGTCGTGGTTGCTCATACTGAGTCTGTGCCGGATAACTGGAATAACCATTATAGGAATCTAGTGCCGGTGATGCATTGTAAGAACTTACCGGAGCACTCCGAGTAATCTGATGTGCGGACTGAGCTGGCCGACTGCTCGAGCCTCCGCTATAATGGGTCCTAACTGAAGAGAAAAATTCACTGAACCCTCCAGATCTTCGAGACCTTTTGGCCTCCTTAGACTCCTTTTCCTCGCCTAAAACACCCTTAATCTTCCTTGCAATCTCCACTACTTGTTGAAATGGAGTATCGATTTGCAACTCTCGGGCCATACATATTTTAATATCATAATCGAGCCCCTCAATGAATATGCGGACCCGTTCTCTGACTGTAGGAACCAAGATAGGTGCATGATGGGCTAACTCACTGAACCTGATAGCATATTCTGACACTGTCACAGTGCCCTGACGCAACCATTCAAATTATGTGCGCCACATATCTCGGAGAGTCTGGGGAACACACTCTTTCAAGAACATTTCCGAAAATTGAGCCCAAGTTGGTGGTGTTGCATCGGCTGGTCTACCTTCTTCATAGATTTGCCACCACTGATATGCTGCGCCTGACAGTTGAAATGTAGTAAAGGCAACTCCGTTCACTTCCACAATACCCATGATGCGGAGAATACGGTGATAATTTTCTAGAAATTCTTGGGCATCCTCTGTAGCTGTGCCACTGAAAGTAGGTGGACTATACCTCTAAACCTTTCAAGTCTCTTTTGTTCTTTTTCTGATGCCTCTGGTCTGACCTCAGGCCGAACCAGAATAACAAGTTGTACCGATACTACACCCGGAACCTGACCAACGTGAACCTGTTGCTCTGGAGTTGTGGTAGGAGTCTGAGCTACTCCCCCAATCTGTAAAATATTCGGTGCAACAGAGATTAATCCCGCCTTAGTTAATGTACCAAACATACTGAGGAACTGTGCTAAAGTCTCCTGAAGTCCGGGGGTAACAACAGGTGCTTCTGGTACCTGTCCCCCAACTGGAGCTACTGGCGGCTCCTCAACTGCTGCTCTGATAGGTGCTCTAGTCGCAGCACGTGCCCTTCCTCGACCTCTACCTCGGCCCCGGCCTCTTGCAGCCCTAGCAGTATGTGCGGATGCCTGCTCAGCTAACCCGGTAGCATATGTCCTCACAATCTATGAGAGGATAGAGATACAAAGGCTCAAATTCCAAATTCAACAAGTTCCGCACGACAGGAATGAAAGAAGTGAAAATTTCCTAACAGTTCTGTAGCCTCTCAAAGATAAGTACAAACATCTCCGTACTCATCCGCAAGACTCTACTAGACTCGTTCGTGACTCGTAGAACCTATGAACCTAGAGCTCTGATACCAACTTCTCACGACCCAAAATCCCACCACAGGCGTCAAGGTGAAAAAAATTCAAATATAGTCAAAAATTAGGTGCTCACAGCACTTAGTCTCTAAGACTAGGTAAGCCGATTACAATTATATTTCAAACTATTTTTTTTAAAATAGGTAATCAAAACTAACAACGGAAACAAATCTGAAAATCTCCCAAGACTGGTAGTACTGAGTCACGAACTCTAACTGAATACATAGAATGATCACGAGGACCAAATATACAATACTGTTTGATTAAAAATTAACAGTACAATGAAATGAACAGACTCCAAGGGACTGCAACGACCAATATAGTATACAAAATAATACTGAAAAATAACTAGCAATGATAATAATAAAATCAACCAGTGATATAACAGCAATACAACAAGAACATCATAATTATTGCTCAGACGAATAAGAAACACAAGTACAACCAATTAATCAAGTCCTTCAAATATAAATTCTTTCGCCTATATGTTTTTCAAATAAAAATCTTCAGAACATAATACTTTCCATTAAATATATTTTCAAGTAAAATTCACCATGTGACACCTCATTTCACAATCATAAAAATTACGGGTCTCAACCCACTTTTATATTTTTCACGACACCTCGTGCCTATATTTCTATCACCATCACACGGACAACTCATGTGTCAATAATAAAATTATCATATTTTTCTCCGGCACCTCATGCCTATATTATTTTCATAAATCACGGACAATTCACGTACCAAAATATCAATGTATATAAGATCCGTAGGATCAATTTATTTTCAATAAAGTAAGGTTAAAATCTTTAAATCAAGTAAGAAATCAACAAAAAAAATAAGTTTATTTTAGAAATCGTTTGAGTGAGGAAAAGTGACATTTCCATTAAAATAAAGCATCAGATAAACTACTGATTTGGATATAAAATTTATTAAATTAAAACATACTATAAATTTTTTTTTTATTTAAAACAACTCAATCATCAAAAATAAGTACAACCCAAAAATACAAATCCTCAAAGTCTCGTACGAAAAAGTCAAGGTTAACACAATACATCAAGAAATACAAAACACTAAATATTAAGTCAAATAATACATCACGAAAAACACAAGAATTTACAAATTACGGAAAAAATTAAATAACCAAAGGCAAGTGCAGCCATAGAGAAATATCAACAAAAGGGCACTCCCGAGGTACCGCCTCGTAGTCCCAAATAATAAATAAATTCACACTTTCCTTATATCACCGCGGGAGCCTTCACATATTATTCTTTAAAACTTTTTTCCCGAAATAGCATCCCGCGTTTTAGCCACCCTTATCATACCGCATGACTTCTAGTAGTTTCCCCTACTAGCCATACGTATCAAGCCACCCTTATCTCACCGCATGCATTTCAATACCCAGACCTTATACCATCGCATGCGTATCAATTTTCACATAAGACTCAAAGCCTAAGGGGTAATTCCCCCACTAGAGGTTAGGCAAGATACTTACCTTATTGAAGTTATGCTGATATTCCAAAATCGCCCTCTCGCTTGAATTGACCTCCGGATAGCTCAAATCTATCCAATTCAATTGTATAACTTCATTAAAATTCATCGGAAATAATTTCGGACAATAAAACGTCGACTTAAATATTTATTCTAAAAAGTCAACAAAAGTCAACGTGGGGCCCGCCTCTCGGAACCCGAAATAATTTTTACGAAATCCGAACATCCATTCCGATACGAGTTCAACCATACTGATTTTATCAAATTCCGATAATAACTCGACCTCCAAATCTTAAATTTTTATTTTTGGAAGATTTTATAAAAATCTTAATTTTCCTCCATTTAAATCTGAACTAAATGATGGATTCAAAGGCATAATCATGAAAATTAATCATAACTGGATAAGAATCACTTACCCCAAAAATCCACGCAAGAATCTCTCCAAAAATTGCTTTCTACCGAGCTCCCAATTTGATTTTGTGTTATGAACTCAAATTTTTATTTTGGGGACTTTTAATTCTGCCCAGATGTGCCTTCTTCGCATTCGCGACCATTGATTCACGTTCGTGAAGCACAACCTCGACTGCCTAGAATTTCCCCTTCGCGAACGCGACACAAGCCTCGCGAACGCGAAGGTTTGTTGTCCCCTCATTTCGCGAACGCGACACACACCACGCGAACGTGAAGGCCAAACGCCTATGGTCCCCAACTGCTTCCTTTCTTTTTCGCGAACGCGTAACACCTCTCGCGTCCGCGATGCACACCCTGTCCACCATTAGCGAACGAGTCCTTGTCTTCGCGAACGCGAAGAGTAAGTTTTTCCAGCTTCTCAGTTCCTCTTCGCGAACGCGATCACTCGTACGCGAACGTGAAGAAGACTTGCTCCAACTCTATGCGAACGCGGACCAATATTCACGAACGCGATGAAGAAAATACTACTGCCATCCAAATACACTACGCGTTCGCGACCCTTGCCTCGCGAATGCAATGAAGGATTTGAGACACCAGATACCAGCAGATTACAGTAGTGGAAAATGAAGGAAAAATGGTCCGAAATCAATCCGAAACACGTCCGAGCCCCTCGGGACCTCAACCAAACCTACCAACAAATCTTAATACATCATTCGAACTTAGTCAAATTCTCAATTCACATCAAACAACATCAAAACGACGCAACGCACCTCAAATCAAAATTTATGAACTTTGAACTTTCAAATTTTATATCTTATGCCAAAACACATCAAATCAATCCGGAATGACTTTAAATTTTGCACACAAGTCATAAATGATATAACAAAGCTATTCAAATTTTCAGAATCGGATTTCGACCCCGATATCAAAAAGTCAACTTCCGGTCTAAAACTCCAAAAATTCGACTTTCGCCATTTCAAGCCTAAATCAGCTACAGACCTCAGATTCACAGTCCGGATATGCTCCTAAGTTCAAAATTACCCAACGGAGCTAACGGAACCGACGAAACTCTATTCCGGAGTCGTCTTCACACAGTTCCGACTACGGTCAAAATCCTAAAACTTAAACTTCCGTTTTAGGGATTAAGTATCCCAAATCACTCCGGATCATCCGGTAACTGAATTCAACCACGCACGCAAGTCAATACATATAATACGAAGCTGCGCAGGGTCTTATGCCGCCGAACGGGACTTAAATTCTCAAAACGACCGATCGGATCGTTACATATTATCACCTTGAAAGCAACACTATGAAAGGAATATTTTCTCCTATCCCTTATTTAATTTCAAATTGAAATAAAGATCTTGAAAGAAAATATGGGAATGTGAGGTACGGAATTAGAATCAAATTTCAGTGCCACACGATTCAGTGGTTGATTGAGTTTTGAGTTTTGTCTCTGCCACAAGAAATTCCACATTGGTTGAGTAGTTCATTTTTTTAATAAGAGGAGTCAGAAAAGTCATCACCTGAATCCTTGGGGAGTTGATGCTGCTAGCTCACGGGCCTCCATTCTTTGATACTTCATAAATCATAGAGTAGGTTATTCACTTGTGTTTTGTAGGGAAAATAGTATTATTTTTTTGGGTTTTTTACTCACGAGCTTTATTAAATTCGAATTCACGTCGAAAAATTTTATATCGGATTTAGTGTAAAATACTTCCTAACTAGAGGCGGACACAGAATTTTTATGTGATGGGGGCACATTATTCTGCTCAACCAATGTCTCCTAAAGGCTTTTGGCGTTTAGGTGGCCAATTGCTTTAAATTAACTATTTTCAAGATATACACATATACATATACATGGCTTCGGCCGAAGTTTACGGGGTCCGATGACCCCTCACCATTACATATGAGTCCGCCTCTGTTCCTAATAAAGATGATTCCATACGGAGACTCAAATTCAAAATATGTGGTTAAAGATAAAAGAGTGCGATGTGAATTAGTTATTATTATACTAACTAATGAAAAGTCATCATTCATTATTACCCTCTCCATCGCACTTCATCATTTATCTATGAAGTAGCCAAGTCAGGCTTCAGAAAGTCCCTCATAAGGTACATATATAAACAAATAAAATGACAACTTATTCCTCAGAAAAGCAAAAAAAGAAAAATAAAATCTGAGAAAATAGTGGACACAGATACTTCATTATGGTTCCCTTTTCCTCCTGTCCTCCTTTTTCTTTTACAGAGGTGGATTTATAACAAATTCTGTGCGATCAACTGAATTCATCGCTTTTAATTCGTCTATATACACAAGATTACACTCTTTCTAAACTAATCAATTCTAAATTATGATTTGCCTCTTGTGACTGCATTATGGGTATAATTTGTCTTTGACTTTTCAATACTGTCTGTAGTATGAAAAACTAAAATCCCCATAACCTGCCTGATATATGCAATCAAAAACATACTAAAGATAAAGAGCTGGCTTACATAAAATAAAAACCAACGTACTCCACTTGCTCTTTATGATATACCTTCTAACAGGGGACCTCCTAGGACCTCCCAGCGGCGGATCCAGATTGAAAGATACGGGTTCATTAAAATTCAGTAATTTTTGCGTAGATCTTGTATATATATTAAAAAATGCATTAACTATCTATAAATATTTGACTATGAACAGTGGCGGAGCCAGGATTTTCATTAAGGGGGTCAAAATATAAAGAAATAAACTCACCAAGAAGTCAATGGGTGTCAATACATAGTATATATACATATTTTTTTTAAAATTACCTAGTTATACAGTATAATTTTCCGACGACCCCTTGAGTGCATGTGGCTCCGCCACTGACCGTGAACCCATTTATTATTTATATTAACTTGAAATCGTTCTAGAAACCCATAAACTTTAAATCATGGATCCAACTCTGAAACTCCTTTTTTCAACTCTATTATATCTTACCCCATATCTATTTATTTAGCACAACTTTCATGATTTGCTATAAATATAGAGGCAAAGGTTCAAACCAACCACTCAAAGAGAGTTTAACAAGTAGAAAAAAAAAAAGGACTTCCTCAATGGGAAATCACAAATTTAGGTTTTCAGATATGTTGCCAAATTCTTGGTTTTACAAGCTTAGAGATATGAGCAAAACCAAAAACCATAAAACCTCTACCTCCAAGAAAAAAAAACCTTTGCAAAATTCACCATTTTCTCAGCCAAGATCATCTTTTTATTATACTACAGAGTCCATTAGAGGTGGCAATATTTACAATTCCCATGATTATTTTCCTGATCCACCTAGAAAATCATCAAATAAAAAAACCAAAAGAAAGACCATTTACAAGCCTTCTCCTAAACACATTCCTAATTCCTATAAATTCCCTGAATTGGATTTCCTTAATTCTCCATCTTCAGAATCTAAATCTGATTCTCATTCTTTCAATGAACTTGCCTCTTGTCAGTTCAGTTCTTCAGCTACTGATATAATCATAGACATGAATGGTAAAGTTCAGACCAAAGAATTCAAGAATCTAAATGCAGGCTATGATACCATTTCAGAACTTGACCTCCCTCCAATTCTTACCAAACATTCAAAATCTTCTAAGTTCAGAAATCTTGATTCAAAACAGGTCAGTGTTAAGACTCGAAAAGATAAAGAAGCTAAATATTTCTCCAACTCTTTTGGTGTAAAGCTACGAACAAATTCTACTAAAAGAGCAAGCAAGAAAATTAGTGTGTCGTTAAAAAAGCGGTCGAAGCCAAAGAAGGAGAGCTTTTCAGCTGAGAGTTTTGCAATAGTGAAAACTTCAACTGATCCTGAAAAGGATTTTAGAGAATCTATGATAGAGATGGTTGTTGAGAACAATATCAAGGCATCAAAAGACTTGGAAAATCTTCTTGCTTGTTACCTTTCACTGAATTCAGATGAATATCATGGACTTATTATCAAAGCATTTCAAGAAATCTGGTTCAACTTTCCTGACCTTCACTTGTAAAATAGTTTCTTACATTAATTAGTTTTCTCATTTACTTCTGAAAATTTGATTGTTTTTACAAATAATAAGTTCTATTTAGGCTCCTAGTTTTGTCATAGCTGCAAAACGTTGTACTTTCTTTCCCTTTTATTGCATTACTATCTTTGAGGGTTCCGTTGGTAAGTCCTTTAGTTTCCGGGGAGTTGTAAGTTAGAAGCTAGAAGTATCAGAAATATGAGGACTAATAGATAAAAGTTTAAGTTATGTGCATCGACCGACAGTGTAGAAATGATTTACAAAATGATATAGGTAAATCTATATTGATAATATCATGACCCTTTAAACTATTGATTTAAGTAATTGAAAACAACCAATTATGTTTACAATGAAACCTAGAAATTGATACCACTGATCCAATTTGAGTACCTCTGCAGGATATACCTCAACAGAAAACTGAAGAGTAACGGCAGCAAGTGATTGAGTTCAGTAATTTCATATAAAATTATTAATTCTAGAGATATAGTAATATAGAGAAGACAAAATTGTTTCAAGCACTGATAGAACTTTAAGTGTCCCTTCTTTCAAAGAAAGGAGAACGGGTTTTTTAAATTTTATTTGATGGTCTTAGGCGAATTGAAAGTTAAGCAAGTGAAATTTTAAAGATTTTTCCAAAGAAAAATAGAGACATCTTCTAAGTTATTCATAATACGTGGTGGAAGTATCGACGTAATTTAATTATTCACTATGTTCATCCTTTTTGTTAATCATGTCTTGTTCTCCTTCCCTCTGTATATTATGTTAAATCTCTCACTTTGTGAGTGTGGAAAGAAGTGGTCCACATTAGAAACTTTGTGCAACTATTGAATGTAACGACACAGAAGGCAAAACATAAGAAAGCTACTTTAGAGTTTGTATTGTTGGCTAAAAAGTAAAGGTTCGATCATAAAGTAAATGCGGTGTCTCTATTTCAGAATTGTCAAATGAGTGAACAATCCAGATAGAATGCACCATATTGCCCGCGTTTGCACAACTAATAATGATGATGCCAAATGCAATTATAGCTGTTCATTCCATTGATCACAAATTTCCTTTTTTAGGGTGGTCTAAGCAGGAATATTAAATTATTTTGGTCCCCATCCGTTAAAAATGGATCTAACTTATATTTATGGAAAGTGTAAAAAACATTATTACCATCGATATATTTGGAAACAATATTAATTGCCTTATCAAAAGATTGAGATTGAATGTTGTTATTATACTGTATTTGTAAAATAATTCTGGAGAAGAAAACAACGTATAGACAGAAATGTAAAAGAAGTAAAAATTAATCCGAGCCCACTAAATTCATAGTGTATCCTTAAGGAACTTAATCCCCTCATAGTACCTGAGGTTGTGGATTATTTCCTCCCAGGATAGAACGGATGACACACTGGTGTAGCGGTACTTCAAACCCCAGTGTTTCAACGAACACAAATGGCGGCAGCAAATCACACTTACTGTTGCTTTGTTGTAGTTAAAATAATGCAGAAAGGAAGAGGAGAATTCAGAATTTTTTGGGTTTAGATGAAGAGATGCAACTCTTCAAAAGGTTTGTCATGACTATTTATATAAAACGGCCATAACATAAATGGCTATTTACGCAAAATAAAACGGGAATTCAAAACGCGGAGGAAAATTAATTTTCCGTTACAAAAACGGATAATTTGGATTAAATAATATTACATTAATATTGAATATTAACAAATAAATTTGGTCCAAAAAATTAATCAATCATTTGACCGAAGCTAAAGCTGAGCGAGCGACGACGACGGCGCGAGGCTTGCTTTCTTCTTAACTCTTTAAGAGCTAAAAGAAGAGTAATTGTATACCCATCAAAAGTTTTTCCTCCTCCAATATGGGATAATGTCCCTTTGTCAAGGAGAGAAAATCAAAATTTCGTTTTTCCCTCAATTTCCCATTCACCTAAAATAAGCTTTAAAAACCCAACAAATGTTAAGGCTAATTCTGGTAGTTGTGGAGTCACCATAGCCAAATTAACAACCAAAGAAAATACTCACCCAACTGCATGAACTAAAAATAATCGGAGGATGTATAACATATGTATAATTCATAAATAATATGTATATAACCGTGTATAAAATTATCTATGTATACCGATTAGAAAAAGTAAACAGTAAATTCGATTGAGTATTTGTATAAAGATTCGTCAACCAAAAGGACCACAAACATAAGCCAAACCAAAGACATTGTGTTTCCATTCTGTTAGACATGCAGAATTTTGTGGGCTGCTGATGACTCTATGCTACAAGCTTGTGTCTCATGATATGTCCAATTAATTATGGATGCTGTAAGACAGATCACTTAATTCTCTCATCTTCTTGCTTAGCTGATTTATGAATTAACAGCGCCACGTGATTAGTTAAAACTTAGGGTAGGAAACCTAGGTAAATTGCTTTAATTAGCATCGTGTAGGCGTAACCAAAAGTGGTTAACAAAATATGATATAATTGGAATAGCTGACGCAAGTATAGTCAGAATTGTGTAAGAATACACTTGCGGTACCAGTGTAGGAAACCAGACCAGTCTTAAATTATCGGGTTCGAGCCGCGAAAGCAATCATTAATACTTGTATTATGGTAAGTTGTTTACATCAACACCCGTTGGGATGCCGTCCTTTCGCCAACCCTACATAAATACGTGATACTTTATGCATCGAACAACTCTTTTTTAGCTCTTGAAATTAAATAGGGGCAGATTCAGATTCAAGTAGAATGTCATTTTATCCATTTACTCTTTTGGATAATATCATAATATGCTTAAATTTAGTGTCAGTATGTATATTTTATAATGATCGTTCAACTATATACATATACAGATAATTGACTACGTTCATGTATCACTGATCATTCAGATGGAAGCCATATATGGAGTAAAGCACAAGGCAACCCCCAGAAACTCCGCTTGAAATTGGAGTACGTTCGAATGATTTAATGTTAGTTACATAAGTTGTGGCCAAATTGACATGTTATTACTGTTCGAGCACAATGAAACATTGACGTACGACATTGTTCCGACCCACAAATTCTGCGTTGAATGAAGGTTTGTCCTTTTCATTGCTGCTCAAAAAATAGGGGAAGGTCGTTAGGGAACTAATACCAGAGGCCTCCAGGTTGTAAGGGAACTAATACCAAACTCGTCACCAAAAAACATATTCACGGGTGTAATAATTAATTATGATTAATTAATAGTAACAGTTTATATAAAAGAACATACTTATCAATGTGTCAATGATTTGGTTCGGCCGTTTATTTTATAAAATTTGTACTATACCAATTTTTCAGTTATTCTATTATATATAATCAAAATTAGATTTTTCGAAACTGTCCTAATCATATCGGTTTCTCTTTGGTACCGATACGGTTCGGTAAATTTTCGGTATTTTTTTTAAAATGTCATGTAAAAGTCACTAGTAGAAGTAGAATGCAATAACATACGTACCTTTATAGGGCTTAACAAAACTCTTTAGACATTTTTACGGTTTAAAAAGTGATGAATTAATAGAATATGAAAGATGACTAGAGTATAGACCCATCAACTATTCTATATCAGCGTAAAAGAAACTAAGCAAATACAAAGAAAATATAAATCATACGAGTAAAAAGATATTAACCAATCTGGGATTCAATAATAAAGTCTATAGAAGATTAAATATTCAAAAGATAAATCTAGATCATACGAAATGAAACATATTCAATACATTGTAGTTTATACTCATAATTGCTACAATACATTGTGTCTTGCTAGTGAATATGCGGGAAATAATTTAGTTTTAATAGGAGTACCATAATAGGTTTGGGAATTAAGATTTTTAGTTTAATTACTTGTGGGATTGTAACTGTTTCATAATACCAAGGCCCAAGAAAAGATTTAATGCTTTATTATTTTTAAACTTAATATATAAATATATTTTTCACATTGTAAATTTATTCGGTATTTTTTTGGTTTATTTTCATAAAATAAAAAATATACCCTAATTATCGGTACGGTTATAGATTTATATAAAAACCTACAGTTTTATTTAAAAAAACCTAAAAATCGATTCGGTATGATACGGTTCGGTCGGTTTAGTTGATTTTTAATTATCCATTGGCACTCCTACTTATCATATATTTATTTGATTGATATAAATATGGGGCTTAATAAGTTTTTTCTATTCTTATCCCTGGTCTTTATCCTTCTCTTTGAGGAAGTTGTTCAACTGAATAGCCAAATAAAAAAATTGTTAGAGTCGTTGCCAGCTGTCGCTATGTGTGATATTTGTTGGCTTTGGTTTATAAGACCTTTTTTTTTTTTTTTTGGTTGAAAAGATAAGTTGCATTAATTAAGTGTAAGCGTACAGAGATTGTGATGCCTGGGCACCATATTACAAATATAAGTAGTAGTAGATGTAGCAGCTAAGCTAGAATTGCTAACTCTAATGTGATTAGTGTTACAATCCCAGGTACTGCTCTGGACTGGTTCTTCAAGACCAATTGACAAAAAGGAGTTTACTTCAGTCAAGCCAGTTGCCGATTGATGGACAAAAATTGGATGCGTCTCCCTTGTGATGGTGATATTTTCAGCAGTTGACGGGACTACTTCGACATTAGGTAGTTCTAATTTATCTGCAACTCTATTTTGTTCTATGTACGCATGGGACACCATTGGATCATGTAACAGCTGTAGGCTTTAATATGAATTACAATATTATTGCGAATAATGACTACTCTGCTGTGCATCACTTTTGCGGGAGAAAGGAATTTATGTTTGATTAATATCATGTTTGGCAGCTGGAAAAATCATCTTATTTTAAGAAATATTTTTTGAAAAAGTATTTTTAGAGAAAAATAGTTCGTGTTTGGCTAATCAATTTGAAAAACACTTTTGAACAATAATTTGTGTTTGACCAAGCTTTTCAAAAAGTATTTTTAAGTGTCAAATTACAAATAATGACATGAAAAGATTTGTTTAATAGTTAATAT